TTTGGTAAAGCATTAAATGTCAAAAAGGAGCGGTATTGATATCGATATCGGCGTACTGGTCCAGTATTTACTTGGTATCGCCCACCACTAGTGGGCAGTGACGATAGGAAACAGAAGGGCCTCCCGCGTAAGACGGAGGAGCACCTCACGTGAGATCCCCGAGGCTGAGCGGTGACGGGCTGCAGTGGATCATTTGAGCAACCGGCGTCACTAATGAGCGCCGAATGAAAAGAGACAGTGAGTGACGCATCGGGCTGCAACGCCTCGCCGCCACTGAAGTTGTGTTTGTGCTAGCTGTTGCAGCTCGAGGGCTCCGCAAGTTTAGAGGTTGCGGGCCCATGAAAGATAAAGGTCTGAGTTCAGAGAACACTTGGTGGCGTTTGTTAATGGATGTTACATGTATAACACAGCCCCACGTAGAGAAGACCAACTCTTTAGCAGATGAATTGGGTGGCTCTTAAAAGAGCCTTTGTGTTGTTGAGAGAGCAGGACCGGGTTTAGCCTCCGAAGCCGTACAGGGTGCGGCCCTGTCTCTTCAGGGCGTAAACCACGTCCATGGCAGTCACAGTCTTCCTCTTGGCGTGCTCAGTATAGGTGACGGCGTCACGGATCACGTTCTCCAGGAAAACCTTGAGCACCCCGCGGGTCTCCTCGTAGATCAAACCGGAGATACGCTTCACTCCGCCGCGACGAGCCAGACGCCGGATAGCGGGCTTAGTGATTCCCTGGATGTTGTCGCGGAGAACCTTGCGGTGCCGCTTTGCGCCTCCCTTGCCGAGCCCTTTGCCGCCTTTTCCTCTTCCGCTCATGTTGATGAAGCTCTTCCTGACTTTCAAAGAACAACTGATGAAGTCCAATGCCTGAGAGTCGTTATTTAAACTTTGGCAGCGGACGTCAAGGAAGACAGCCAGCCGGAAGTCGTACCGCCATTTTCCGCTTCTTCTTTTCAAGCTAGAGGCTGTGAGCAGAGTTTTTCTTCATATAATGTGCACAGGAAACACTCCTGTCTTCAGCTGCGGAGGGTCGTCTTCCATACACTTCTCTAACTGAAATGTTAATTTAGGCTACAGCTTACCCAGATACACATATGTACATAAGCACCCTCTGGTATACATATGAAACACATTTATGAGCTTAAAATACTTTTGTCTCCCAATACAGTGATACTATGACTCAAAATATCAGTCAATCAAGATCAATGTGCAATCAAGAAAAAGGGAATGTGTATCAAGAAAACAAAAGATTTGATAAAATAGATACATATGTACACACACAGTTTGGATATGCATCTTCCACTGCATCAAACAAGCTTAAAAACAGTTTTAAACCTGAGCCATGAATAAACTACACAGCAAATTCTCATACATACTGTACATACACACGCACACACACATACATATATATATATAT